TTCTTTAAAAATTAAAACGACTGAAACCCCTGGGATTCTTTATATTCTTCAACTGCCGCCCCTGAGATTCTTTATATTCTTTAAAAAAGTTAAACGACAGATCCCTGAGATTCTTTGAATTTTTTAAAAAATTAAACGACCGAGACCTCAAAGATTCTTTAAATTCTTTAAAAAATTAAACGACTGAGACCCCTGAGATTTTTTATATTCTTTAAAACATGAAGCGATCGGGACCCCCGAGATTCTTTAAAAAATAAAACAGCTAAGACCCCTGAGATTCTTTATATTCTTTAAAAAATTAAACGACTGGGACCCCTAAGATTGTTTAAATGCTCAAAAAATTAAACGACTGAGACTCGTAAGATTGTTTAAATTCTTAAAAAAATTAAACCATCGGTACCCCTGAAATTTCTTTAAAAAATGAAAGGACTGAAACTCCTGGGATTCTTTATATTCTTCAACTGCCTCCCATGAGATTCTTTATATTCTTTAAAAAAATTAAACGACAGATCCCTGATATTCTTTAAATTCTTTAAAAAATTAAACGACTGGGACCCCTAAGATTCTTTAAATTCTTTAAAAAAATAAACGACTGACACCCCTGAGATTTTTAATATTCTTTAAAAAATGAAACACCTGCCGCCCTTGGGATTCTTTATATTCTTTCAAAAAATGAAACAATCGGTACCCCTTGGATTCTTTACATTCTTTAAAAAATGAAACACCTGCCGCCCTTGAGATTCTTTATATTCTTAAAAAAAATTAAACGACGAAGACCCCTAAGATTTCTTTAAAAATTAAAACGACTGAAACCCCTGGGATTCTTTATATTCTTCAACTGCCGCCCCTGAGATTCTTTATATTCTTTAAAAAAATTAAACGACTGAGATCCCTGAGATTCTTTAAATTTTTAAAAAAATTAAACGACTGAAACCCCAAAGATTCTTTAAATTCTTTAAAAAATTAAACGACTGAAACCCCTGAGATTTTTTATATTCTTTAAAACATGAAGCGATAGGGACACCTGAGATTCTTTAAATTCTTTAAAAAATAAAATAGCTAAGACCCATGAGATTCTTTATATTCTTTAAAAAAATTAAACGACTGAGACCCCTAAGATTGTTTAAATTCTTAAAAAAATGAAACAATCGGTACCCCTGAGACTCTTTGTATTCTTTAAAAAAATTAAACGACTACGATCCCTAAGATTTCTTTAAAAATTGAAACGACTGAAACCCCTAGGATTCTTTATATTCTTCAACTGCCGCCCCTGAAATTTTTTATATTCTTTAAAAAAATGAAACGACTGAGATCCCTGAGATTCTTTAAATTCTTTAAAAAATTAAACGACTAAGATCCCAAAGATTCTTTAAATTCTTAAAAAAATTAAACGACTGACACCCCTGAGGTTTTTAATATTTTTTAAAAATTGAAACGATCGGGACCCCTGAGATTCTTTAAATTCTTTAAAAAATAAAACAGCCAAGACCCCTGAGATTCTTTATATTCTTTAAAAAATTAAACGACTGAGACCCCTAAGATTGTTTAAATTCTCAAAAAAATGAAACGATTGAGACCCCTGAGATTCTTTATATTCTTTAAAAAAATTAAACGACTGAGACCCCTAAGATTGTTTAAATTCTTAAAAAAATGAAACAATCGGTACCCCTGAGATTCTTTGTATTCTTTAAAAAATGAAAGACCTGTCGCCCCTGAGATTCTTTATATTTTTTAAAGAAATTAAACGACTACGATCCCTAAGATTTCTTTAAAAATTGAAACGACTGAAACCCCTAGGATTCTTTATATTCTTCAACTGCCGCCCCTGATATTCTTTATATTCTTTAAAAAAAATTAAACGACTGAGATCCCAGAGATTCTTTGAATTTTTTAAAAAATTAAGCGACCGGGACCTCAAAGATTCTTTAAATTCTTTAAAAAATAAAACGACTGAGACCCCAGAGATTTTTTATATTCTTTAAAACATGAAGCTATCGGGACCCCTGAGATTCTTTAAATTCTTTAAAAAATAAAACAGCTAAGACCCCTGAGATTCTTTATAACCTTTAAAAAATTGAACGACTGAGACCCCTAAGATTGTTTAAATTCTTAAAAAAATGAAACAATCGTACCCCTGAGATTCTTTATATTTATTAAAAAAATGAAAGGACTGAGACCCCGGAGATTCTTTATATTCTTTAAAAAATGAATACACCGGGACTCCTGAGATTCTTTCTATACTTAAAAAAAAATGAAACAATCGGGATCCCTGAGATCTCTTTAAAAAATGAAACGACCCCTGAGATTCTTTATATCTTTTAAAAAAATGAAACGATCGATACTCCTGAAATTCTTCAAAAAATAAAACGACTAAGACCCCTGAGATTCTTTATATTCTTTAAAAAAAATTAAACGACTGAGACTCCTAAGACTGTTTAAATTCTTAAAAAAATGAAACGACTGAGACCCCTGAGATTCTTTATATTTTTTAAAAAATTAAACGACCAGGACCCCTGAAATTTTTTCTATTCTTTAAAAAATCAAACGACTAGGACTCCTAAGAGTCTTTAAATTATTAAAAAAAAATTAAACAACGGGGATCCCTGAGATTCTTTATATTCTATAAAAAAAAATAAATAAGACGACCCTTGAGATTCTTTAATATTTAAAAAAAATGTAACAACCAGTTCTCTTGAGATTGTATAAATTCTTTAAAAAATAAAAAGACTAGGACCCCTGAGATTACTTCTGTTTTTAAAAAAATGAAACAATTGGGGGCCCTCAGATTCTTTACATACTTTCAAAAATGAAACAACCGGGACTCCTGAAATTCTTTATTCTTTAAAAAATTAAACAATTGAGGCCTCTGAGATTCTTTACCATAACGACCGAGATCTCTGAAAATCTTTAGTCTTTAAAAAATTAAACAACCGGGGCACCTGACATTCTTTAAATTATTTTACAATTGAAACACAAAGAGACCCTGAGATTGTTAAAATTACTTCAAAATAAAATGACCGAAGGCTAGGCCATGATTTTCTTTAAATTCTTTAAATCTCAGACTTCCGGGACCCCTGAGATTCTTTATTTGCTTTAAACAATGGAACAACCCAGACTCCTGAGACTCTTTAAATTCTTAAAAAAAAATCAAACGGCGCCGGCGGCCTCTTTAGGTATATTCTCTAAAAAATGAAACAACCATTCTTAAAATTGCTTCAAAATGAGCCAGTAATTTTCTTTAAATAATTTAAGAAATCATACGATCGGGACTCCTGAGATTCTTTATATTCCCTAAAAAATGTGGCGACCACAAGCCTTGAGTTTCTTTAAATTCTTAAAAAGAAATTAAACGATCCGCAAGTATTTGAATTATCTTTTCATTCTTATTTCTGTCTTCTTCCTTGCCCTTGTATGTTGATTTCCAAAAGTAAATAAGAGGATTCTGTCTGTATTCTTCACTGGAAACGTTTTTATTTCGTGACATCCTTTCTCATTTACAATTATTATTCTATAATCAATCACTGTCGCTCCGCTTGTCTCACGTATATTCATCTCCTCCGTCTTCACCTTCTTCATTCCCATTCAGAAAATCCTATCATTTTTCCTCTAGCTACACATTGTCTTTTGTTTTTATCTTTGTTTCTCGTTCTTCATCGTCTTTTATTCTTCTGCCCTTTTCTCCAATTCTAGCATTGTTTTCCTTTCATTATTTTCCCTTTTTCTTCTCCTTAAATTAACATTATAATAAGAAAACCATTAGTTTCACGTCGCTGTTTCTAATTTTCAGATCTTTTTCTATGTTTTCATCCATAAAATCAGGTACGTATTTGTTTCCTGATCTTCTCTTCCTTTTTTTTTTTTCGTCGTTATCTGTTATGTTCTCCATAGCTTACATTGTATTCAGCTGTTCTTCTTTCTCTTGTTGTCAGTTTCTTTCATTTTCTTGCATCTCTTTTCTCAGATTTTTACTCCTTTAATAAGTACTTGCTTGATTTCCTCGTCTTTGTTTTCGTCGTTACTGTTTTCAGGGGACTACTACTTCCTCCGGTTCTTTTCGGACTTTCCTTCCTTGTTTTCTCTTTTTTTCTTTTCTTACCTTCTCTTATGCTGCTTCTTGTTTTTTCCACTTTGATTTTTCTTTTCTTCTAGTATGCCGAGTTCTTGGTCACTAATTTCTTCTTAATCTCAGTTTTATTGTCTCGTTTCGCAATTGTATGTCTTGAATGTTGGTTGTCTTGATTCTTATTTTCTGATTGACAATTTTCAGTAGCATATTGTGAGTTCTGTTTGCTTCAAGGCTTTTCAGCATCAATCAAAGACATCAGTTAGTTCAGTTAGTTCAAGCAGTATTTCCATCTTCCTAACATCCCCCCAGTAAATTGGCCTTGTTTCTGGTGCAGTCCTTCGAAAATTACCATTTGTGCGTTCGAAGTGGCGCCCTTCGCGCATGATAAATGAGCTGGCGGCGCAATTTTTTATCGCTTGACGAAAGTAATTTTTTGATCAGAGATAGAGGAATAAAAGTCGTTATTATTCAGGACGATGATTTACTCGCTTTACGAATTTCTCCTTCCGTAAACAAGAACCGAGGAGCAAGGCAACATACAAGCGGAAAATGTTCTCATTAAATTTATATATCTGCGTCGTATTCGAGATTACTTTTTTCATGCAAATTGCTTTTTGTCGTTACATGAGTTCCCCGTGGAATTTTGATTAATTATTTTTCTTCTCGTCCCGATTTTAAAAGACCGTTTTCAATGACAAAAAAGATGTTATTCAGACGGGCTTCGATCTGGACGCTGATTGCAGATTGACTTCTATTCAGCGCCGGCCCACGCTAATTTGCGGACTCGCTTTAGTCCTAATTTCGGGAAAAGTACAATCGGAAAATTCCCCTGTTTGTCGTTTTCTTCTGGAATAATTCGGCGGTTTTTTCGGCGGATCGGTTGCAAAATAATTCGAGAGAAGTGGCACAAAAATAACGACGTCATTTGTTACAGGCGTGCACATCTGCGAAACTGCTTAGAGATACTTAAGGAAATAGTACCGCTGGGCCCCGAAGCATCTAGACACACTACACTAGGACTTTTAACGAAGGCTAAAAGGTTTATTAAGGTAAGGAGTACACTTTTCCCTCTTTATGTCTTGTTGACAACCTGTCATCCGACGTTAAATAACAATGATGACTTTGCGACTTTCGCATAAAAAAGTTTAATGTGATATGCTCATCTCCCGTACTGAAATAATAATAGAACGAGTTTTACGGACTCTTCCTGTTGACAACTCGTGTAAAATCGCTTACTTATTTACAGGCGTATCTGCTTTCGTTAAATTCCGCCGCCATAAATTTACCTTCTGATTATAGATGAAGTTAACACGAGTTGATCTTTTATGCAACGCTGCACAGCGAAATGTCTGAAATCCTGGAAGTTTTATACGCGTAATTATAGCATAGTGTTGCTACTTCAATTATAAAGCAATTGCACCGGCTTACAATTTCAATTACACCTCTCAAATTTATATCACTGTCTCATTAAATTAATTAATGTTGGTACTACTTTCTGTCAACATAATTAGTACAAGTGCTAAACCGCCACTGATGAATACGTCACCTTGTTCAACGCTAATTGAAATTCATTACGGCGAAATTTACGAGCGTCACGTCGTTATTGTTCGTCCAAAGTAATCAAAACTACCCCTTATTCGTTTGTATTTAATCAGTCGAACTAACCCGGCGCCTCCACCATATTTCGTTGTGGACTGGACTTGGAACTGGAGAAAGTCTAAAATAAAATTAATTAAAAAACGAAAAATTAGCCGGTTTTCGTCAAGTGGAACGAGAAAGTTACGCTATCCTTGAAAAAGTTTTATTAAGGTAACAAACTTTGTATACAGCGCAGAGAATAGCTGGATTCATACCAAAAAGCGTAGCGTAACTAAATTCCGAAGCTAACTAAATGATTTTCAAGGTATATTAGTAGTCGGTGTACAGATTTTCGTGTCGCAAAATTTGTGTTGAATATTCGGTGGAATTACAACTAATTGTGAACGAAAACAATTAAGAAACTATTACGGAGTAATTAATTCAAAAGCTAAACAAAATTGGGCTTAATCGTGGCACATGTACCTAATATCCACGTACGTATTTAACTAAAGTAAACTTAATTATACTAAAAGAAAATTATTTTATTAAACGCTGGTACATGAAAAATATAAATTCAAAATGATTTGAATTTCCCGCCTCGTGAGAATGGGTTTAAATTTCCGCCAGAAAGTCGGCAAATGTACATATACGGAATATTGTGATAAAAGAATACCAAAAAATCAGAAGGCTGTTTATGTATATTAAAAAAAAAAGGCAATTAAGCTCCACCCCTTGCTTCACGACCAATGGTAAATTTGGCTTCTCTTTTGCTTTTCTTTTTTTAATTAATACATTTAGTTTTCTTTGTATAACACGATTATTTAACAACATATGTCACATTGTAATTTCTCACAGAAAAATAAGGATTTTATAATCAAACTCCGCCCCTCGGCTTACAACGGATAAAAAAAATCATCGGAATTGAGATAGGGCGGGTGGGCGGGGCTTATATATATATATATATATATATATATATATATTTTATTAATATAGATAGCCTTCTTTTCACAACAAGAAACAATATGGATTTGCAATTATGGGGCGGGACCTAATTGCGGAATCGATACTTCCTGATAAATTTTCATGTTTTAAGTTTCATGTTGTGAAAAGAAGTCTACACATATTAAAACAAAAAGGCAAAATGTAAGCCCGCCCACCCGCCCATAAGTGGGCGGAGCTTAACTGCAAAATACTTATTTCTTTGCAAGAAATTAAAAACATGTCTTTAAGTATTCTGTTGTTCAAAGGATATTCTGTATATTAAGAAAAGAAGGCAAATATAAAAAATAACAACATAAAAAACAAGAAGATGGAAATAACAGTGGTAAAAAAGTTATGGAAGGAACTGTAGCAATACAAATATATGTTTGGAAGGCTCCAAAACAGAAATCAAAAACGACAAAACACTGAGATAACAAAGCCCATGGAAACAAGAATATTAATAGATAGTACAAAAATAAAAAAAAAATTAAATCATAGAAGAAACAGAAATATTGTAATAGTAGAAAGCAATTTCACCTCTAAAACGGGAAAAGGAAGACAAACAAAAAAACAAAAACCAAAAACTTCCATGAAAATAAATATGAGACGAGGAATAAAAATTTTATATACAGGGTGAATCAAAATATGTGCGGAAAACTGAAGAAACATGTTCCTGACATGAATATATGAAAAAAGCTTGTATAAACATATATCTAAAAATGCATGGTTTTAAATAATACAATGTGTATAATAGTGAGTCATCAAGAAGAACAATAAAATAGTTAAAAATAGTGTACTTGAAGAGTCTAAATAAAAAAAGAATGCAGAATGCACAAGAAAGTAGAAATCGATGAAGAAATTAAAAATAGTATAATGGAGAAATATTGCTTAAATCTTTCAAAGACGAAAATGAATAACAAAAAAAATAGAAAAAAATGCAACAAAAGAACAGATGATTGACAAAGGAGATGTTTAAAATTAAATTAATTAAAATGGAAAAAATTACCAAAACAAACTCATTTGAAAATAGAAGCTATAAAAACGAAGATAAAAAGGCAAAAACAAAGAGCATCAAGATTTCAAAAAAGAAAATCGGCAAACGAAGAAGTAAAAAGAAAAAAATTAATAATAAATCTTTCAGAAATGAAACTGAATAACAAACAAAAATAGAAAAAATAAAGCCAAATACAAAGGCAGAAAGTTCAAAAGTGAAAAAAATTAGAAAACAATGTTATAGTAGAAAACCACCGAAAATCAAAAACTCGCGTGGGAACTGATATGAGACGAAGAATAAAAATTGTATATACAGGGTGATTGTTAATATGTAGGAAAATTTTGAGGGGTGTATTCCTGACATGAAAATAAGCAAAAAACCGTTTAAGAACAAAAAATTAGTAGTATTAAATATACAGTGTGTTTAATAGTAAACCAAGAATAAACGAGAAAACTACAAAGACCAAATATAATCCCTGAGGTGAAAAAGAGCAACAAGAATGAAAAAAATCGGCAAACGATGGAGGAATAATGGAGAAAGAAATATTAATAGACCAAATATGAAAAAATGATTAATTATTTAAACCCTAAAAAACAAAAAGCAATCTTACCGCCCAAATGAGAAAATGCAAGGAAGGAAAACCAAAAATCAAGAACTTCCATTGGGATTCTTATGAGACTACGAATATAAATTTATATACAGGGTGATTCTTAATATCTACGAAAAAGTTGAGCGTGGTCCTTACATAAGAGAAAGCAAAAAAACTCATATGAATATACATCGAAAAATGCGTGTTTTCAAATAGACAGTGTGTTTAACACAATAAATGATCAAGAATAAACAAGAATAAGATTCAGAATAGAATAGTGGAAAAGTTTAAATGAATTGAGAAAAACATAACAAAGAAAGACACAAGAAAGTAGAAATCGATAAAGAAATTAAAAGTAGATTGGAAAACTATAGAGTCATCAAAGTTGATTGAGAGAGTTGGTAAACCTGAACTTGAATAATTTGGTTTATTAAGTTGTATAAAAATATTAGCTGTCAGATTTGAAGTTTCAAGTTTCAAATTTCAAAACTCAGTGGCGTCTTTTTTCGATTTTTTTTTTTTTTTTGGTAAAAATATTAGTTGTCAGATTTGAAGTTTCGAGTTTTTGTCAGGCCACTGAATTCATTGCCATATAACCTTAAACAAATCTGTCATAAGATTGACAAACTTCACGACAAAAACAGGGAGTACCAACTCTCTCAATCAATTTTGATGACCCTGTATTACTTAGATGTTTCAAAAATGAAAGTCAGTAACAAACAAAAATAAAAAAAAAAACACAACATAAGGCAAATAACAAAGGAGATTTTTGTAAAATATGGAGAGGGAATAGAAATTTTATATACAGGGTGATTTTGAAAATGTGGAAAAACTGGAAGAGTTTTTCCTCACATTAAAATAAGAAAAAAGTTTGAAATCAAGAAATATCGAAAAATGCAGAATGAATGGTTGAAAATAGAATACTGGCAGAGTATAAATAAATAAAACATTTTGAGAACAACATTACAAAAAATATAAATAAATATTACTTAAATCTTTCAAAGACGAAAATTAATAACAAACAAAAATAGAAAAAATGCAACAAAAGAACGCAAGAAGATTATTTCAAAAACCGGAAGAAGGGATCGGCATTCTATTTATTTTTGAAATGGATTAGCATTAAAACGGAAAAAAATTGGAAAAACCCAAGAAAAAAATTACCAAACCAAATTCATCTGGAAGCATCAAGAATCAATAAAGACAACTTAAAAAGACGAAGACAGAAGGCAATATATTTACTGAGATAAAAAAAAGCATCAAGAATTTAAAAAGATTGGCACGAAGAAAGAATAATGGAAACAAAAATTGCAAAAAAAGGGTAAAAGAACAGATAATTTTAACACAATGAGGGAATCGGCAATTTAAATAAGCATCAAAAATGTAAAAAAATCTCCAAATGAAAAAGGAGGAATGGAAACAAGAGTATTAATAGAAAAAAAAAGTAAACAATGAGATATTAAATGATAAACGCAAAAGAAAGAATGTTATACTAGAAAACTGCCAGAAAAACCAAAAACTCGCGGGAAAATTGCTATGAGAACAGAAATAGAAGTTTTATGTACAGGGTGATTCTTAATATGCCCTAAAAAAATGAACAGTATGCCCCCGACATGAAAATAAGAAAAAACAAGAAAAAGAATAGATTGCTAAAAAAGTTTAAATAAATCAAAACAACTTCATCTGCAAGCAATCAATAAAAACGGAAATGAGAAACGAGGTAGACAAAAAGAAATATAATTACTGAGGTAAAATGACCGTTAAGAATTTAAAAAACAAATTGCCAAACGAACAAGGAGTAATGGAAATGGGAAATTAATACTTAGTACAAAAATCAAAATAATGAAAAATTAATGAAATCATAAAAGAAACGGAAACAATGCTATAGTTCTTCGCCAGAATGAGAAATT